CTCGCCTAGAGGAAGCCACGACCACGTGTCAGAGGAGGGAAGATGGCCACAGGTCGTGTTCATCACCCTATGCGGAGTTCGCAAACGAAAGCAAAAATTTGCGAACGCTGCTGTTCTCGAACCGAATTGTTTGTTAACAGAAGCGTTCGTGAACCGAGGTATTACTGTATTTAAAGACTCCAAATATGTACTCTTATTATTTAAAAAAAAAATCAGAATCACAGTGGTGAAGCAATATATTCGAGATGTACAGAATACACAAGACCAAAGTTACCCTACTCCTAGCACAATTTAAGCAGCAGAGTAAAAGCAAACCAGGACTGAACTTCCGGTTCAACCCACAAACCCCAAGTACTTGGTTTGCAAACAAATAGGATTTTTCTAACAGTACACATACAGAAACAGTCCCTGGAATATATTTCCAGTACTAGGACCACATCCTAGAAGATATAAAACATATAAGGAGAGGAGAGAGGAACTTGGTGCATGAGAGCACATCTAATTGATGTGCAAAGAGAGCACATCTAATTGATCAATTAACAACCATTCAAAGTTACGACAGCGCTGAAAAAAGTGATTTACAACTGGTCCTCATACTTATGACTGTTGCAACATCTCCATGGTCACATGATCAAAATTCAGGCACTTGGCAATTGGCATGCATTTACGATGGTTGCAGCATCCTGGGTTTATGTGATTGCCATTTATGACCTTCCCAGGAGGCTTCAGACAAGCAAAGTCAGTGGGGGACGCTAGATTCACTTAACAACCATGGTGATTCATTTAACAACCGCAGCAAAAAAGGTAGTAAAATCAGGTGTGACTCACTTAACCACACTGCTTAGCAACAGACATTCCAGTCCCAATTGTGGTCATAAGTCGATGACTACCTGTATATTGAATTACCTCTCCATGACTAGGAGTTGTAGATAAGATTGTGCATTAGAATGCAGTTTCTCAACTAACAGTGAAAGTATACTGCAGAATTCTAAGTACAACATGATTCCTCTTTCCATTCCAAAACTAAGATGACTGTACTTACCGAGTCCTACACTAACAGCTTATATAGCTGGAAAATCAACAACAACCAAATAGACAAGGATTTCTCAGTATTGGCACAACAGGCAACAAATGCTATAATCAAATTTGCAGCTATTAGGACAATAACTATATGTGGGGAGCAGTTAAATTATTTCAAGTCAAGGTGATAAATCTTCTCTCATAAGGCACACAGTTTGTGCCTATAATGACACATCTGCAATCTAATGCTAGCATGCCCCCTGCCCTCCCCATAACATATGCTCTGCTTTAGCTAGAGATTCCTTGTGCCTTTCTAGAGGCCAGAGAGTTTGCCAGCTGAAATACAGGCTGAAACAAGTCCCTAGTGCAACCTGGTTGATAAATGTTCCTCTTCTTGGAAGAAATGAATAGCTGCTTGATCTGGCTCACTGGAGAGACCCAAGCATTTCAAGGAATGAGTTGAGACTGGTTACAAATGGAGAAACCTTCCATGGCTACATCCCATCTTCATGTGAGGCAGCCAACCAGTTCCTTCTCGTCACTCCTTTTCCAGTGTCCGTTAAGTCCTTTATCTAAAATGGCACTGTATCCCAGAGAAACCACTGTCCCCATTTACCCAGTATAAGCAATGACCATAATGGCTGGGAATTTGAGAATTGAGAAGGGCAGAATATGGGTATATGCAATATATAATCTCAGAATTAGACTTCCTAAATGTCAGTTTTGAGTGCAGCCTTATTTTTTTAGTCATAAATTCAAGCTTTTTTGTCTAAAGAAGCTTTATGCTACTATTACCTATTCATCTGCACATTAGCCAAAGCAGCTTTGAACCTGTATTTTTCACTATAGCTAAAAAAGGCAGCTGGTGATCACATCTAAATGGATAGAGGAACACGGTCAAAATGCTGGCAAGTGTCCTGTCCAGCTTCAATACTGGGAATAAATGTTCTGTGTACACATGGATGACACTTGCAACATCATACAATGTCCTATATTTAGTGTATCCTTTTACCTTCTTCCTTCTAATATTTAAGACATTCAGCATAAAAACATACCTGACTTCAGTTAATACTGTACTAACTGAAAAATTATGTTTATACCTTACCTTAAACACTTGAAATAAATAAAATTTTAAATACCACAAAAAAATCAGAAGCAAAGAACTAGCCTTGAGCACAATATACAGGAAATTAATGATGCCATAGTTCCTATTCCTATATAATTCTTATGCCTACACAGTTCCTATGCCTACTATTTCTATTCCTGCATAGATTCTATGTAATCCTGAGCATCTGCTCTTTTAGTATAAGGCAACAGGCAATTTCCTTTAATAAACTACATTAGTTTATTGCTCTTTATCAGCCTTCCTCTTGATCTGAAAAGATAATACTTTGCCACCAAATCTTTATTTTTGTTAGTTTCCAGCACAGATCCTTTAATTCAGTAAATCAAAAATTTGTGTTCTATTGCTCAAATATTCCAGTGCTTTTATTGATATATTTTGGAAACATAAGTTAGCATGATGTTTTCATTTTTATTAGGAAAGAGTCTGGGATTTCAAAATGATCAAAGATTTATCTCTAGGCTGAACTAGTGAAGTTAAAAACTCCACATTTCTACAATTTGTTGTTTGCTACACCCACACTGAGAGGATGAAAATAAAGGAGCTGCTTCCTTTCCTTATAAAATATTTTGTTAATAATCAAACACACACACAGAGACATACACAAAGACATACATACATATACACACACACTTTCCATGCAAAAGTATCTTAAAGACAAAAGTATCTTAAAATTCAGTAGAAGAAAAAACCCTGCCTAATCCCCAGGAAAATACACACAGATGCTGACTCCAAAACAAGCAGCCACTCAGTAACCCAACCCCCCCCACACCACACCACACCCCCCCAGATCTCTATAAATAA